ATCTTCTATAAAAATGAAAAGTGAATTCAATCCACGCGGCCCACTAGCGAGCGACGTGGCCCACATAGGACACAACCCATCCATGCAAAAACGGCCCACGACGGGGACGCCCGCGCGCGCCGGTACTTTTTCTAAAACGCCCTCGTGCTAAGACCGAATCAACCCGCAGTCCATAGCACTATTTCCCAAGACAACACTTTTGCAAATGAACCCTCAGAGCATCTCTTCTTTACAACAGCCAGGTCCTCAGGCCAGCCCCGCGCACACCCGCGCGACGATGATGGCACTGGGCAGCCACGTCAGCCAACCGAGACCCGCCCCGACCCAGATTGCGAGCCGATCAACACCTCCAACCCTTGCGCCAACACTAGCCGAGGTTATAGGATCGGCGGAGCTCGCGGAAGTGGCGAGCATGGCGTGTGGCCATGCGCGACGGTGGCGCGACCACGTCGGCCAGCCACAGCCACCGTGGGGAGAGCTAGCTAATGCTAAAGCATCCCTATCGTACCCTGGTTGCGGCTGTGGTGATGGTTTGGCCAGGAATTCCCTGAACCGAGTTGGCCACGTGCGACGGTGGAATGCGGTGGCACACTGCGGTGACACGGTCACGTCAGCGACCAAGGCGAGCTGGTAGCGACTAGGCTGAGGTGTGCGGGGTGAAGGAAGGATCTAGGTGAAGGTAGTGGTAGAGCGAATTGGGCAGTGGGTGATGGGCGAGCGAGCTATCCGCGCCCACGGCCAAACGCGGCCTTAACGGCTCGCTAGTGCGGAAACGCCAAATTGGCGCCCGACCGGCCGCCATCAAGGTTACGGGTGGCACAGGCGGTGAGGGGACAAGAGAGCGCAGGTGCGGACGAGGCGAATTGAATAGCGGTGACTTATTTCTGGCGCACTCGTGGCGCAAGGCGACGGCGATGTCAGAGAGAAAAGCAGGGGCACACGGGCGGACGGGACGGTAGCGGGGCTCAGCTAGGATTCGAATGGTGCACGTCTTGGCGGGGTGCGGTTGTCATGGCCGAGGGACCCTTGTCCCAAGCACAGTGGACGAGCGAGTGCATCGATGACAGGCCGTTGCCCGCACGCTGTGGCGCCATTAATGGCGTAGCGACGGCGTGTATGGCCACGTGCGAAAGGCATCCACCCGGCCAGGGAGACGCAACATAGCGCAGCGCAGCGCGGCTTGCAGACGCAACGACAGCGGCAGCGACACGGCGAGGCAGAGCGGCCAGACGGCCACGGATCAGCCAGGGCGTCGGGCCCGCGATGGCAACGGCAGCGACACGGCGGGGCAGAGCGGCCAGGCCAACCGGCCCCAGCGTCCCACCGAGCGTGGCGGTGCACGTGTGTGCATGCGTGTGTTGGGTGAGCCCACGCTGCGACGCCGTGCCCCCGAGGCACGATGATCGCACCCACGTGAGGAAACCGGCCGAGGGCATGTCGTGCACGGTTTTTAAAGCGTTCTAAAAATCTAAACCTTTGATCCAGTCGCCAAACCACCTTTGCTATACCTAATAGGGTATATTAGGCTACCAAAACAGGCCATGACACTACTCTTCTTCTTAACTAAATTTTTCTACAAAAATTGATGAACACAACAATGTCTACCCTTTCCAAAGTTCAAGAAATTTTCTAAGTTCCGAGTTTAACTCTATATCAACTTGCATTTCTAAGCTACTCGAAATCTTAGCTAGTGATATTGTTTTTCGACCGCAGGTATTTCATTGTCATCAACAAAGTTTGTACTTTAAACTTTATTCAAGTATCACATACATGTTCTATAACATTTTTACTTAATAAAAATTGGTTTTAAACCCTAAGTGATACAACATGATTATTAAATTAACTTTCGTTATGCATTTCTAATGATCGTTTTGAGTCACGGAACTGGATCTACACCCTATATTACATGCATTAACACAGAAACATGATGCTCATGACATGTTTTAGCAAATTGTTTACAGTGTAACACCGAGGGTGTTACACAAGAACAGGTACAAGTGTACGACGACTGCAACCTCTTCACCTTCAGGACGGAACTTACTGCCATCGAGCCCTTCTCGACGTGCTTCCGGCATAGCACTACAAGGAGTACGCAAATATTTTTGCCAGAGGCTCTGAATTTGAGACATCGAGCAGGAGTTGATCCAGGGCTAGGGTCAAAGCATTCCCCCATGTGATGGTTCAGAAGCTTACAATGCAATAGATGCTGGCAAAGGGGGTGTCGCCGGACTTGGGTGACATGAAAGGCGACATCGAGACCGGCCGACGGGGGCACGAATGGCGAGGGCAATCCCACATACTCTTCGACCCAGGTAGTCCCAGCGTCGAGCTCCTGCAGCAGCCCCCGCACTGCGTTCTCCTCCTCAGGCAACCACCCATGACTCGTTCTTCGCGGCCTCCTCCTCGCCGAGCAGCCACGCCTCCGCCTGCTCTAGCTCCTCCACTCACAGGAGCAGCTCCTCTACTGCCTGCTGCTTCACGAAGGACACCACAGATCTGGGAGAGGGAGAAAAAGGGACATGGACAGGGAGAGGAGAGGAGGCAGGGGCTCACCTCGGCCTGGGGTTTGGCACGGTGACCAGCAGACCGTGGTCGTGTCGCGCGTGTGGATCCTTCATGCTTGCCTCACACTTGGAACTGTGGTGGGGCGGGCGCTGCCGGAGCAATGGGAAATGGCGGGGCAGAGCTGGGGAGTCCCTAGGGCCATCCCTATCGTCGGTTTCTTCTTCCATGCGCCCCTCACCGCCGCCGCTGAGGCCGTTTGCTGCTGGGGCTTCTTTCGCCCTATGAACCACCGTGGTAAAAGGTAGGTCGACGGAGACCAAACACCCTTCGGAGATGGGACCGGGGCCGAGGTCGGGGTACGCGGCGGCCTCGGCATGGTAGCAGCGAGGCGTCGGCGTCGGTGGGGTAGGCTGGTAGGAGCGGGTCATGGCGGCACGCGCCGGTCCCAGATCTGCGCCGGGTCGTGGCCGGCCACGCCGTGGCTGCAGCCGGCGGCCGAGGAGAGGGAGGAGGTGCCTGCTGGCCAGCGGATGGAGGGAGGGGCGACGCGGTTGCGCCTCGCTGTGCCCGGCTTCGGGATTCACTTGAGGCGGTCGAGCGTAGGTGGAGGAGATGCTTGCGTGATTGGAGGAGATCGGGCGCGCCGCGACGGGGAATCGCGTGATTGGAGGAGAGCGAGAGGGTGAGGGATTTAGGAAGGTGGAACTGGAGGTGTCATGATTTCGTGGAGCCGGGCGGGAATTTTTTCCGATGATCACGGTTGCACGTTCTTTTCATAGTTGTTTCCTTTTGAAACCACGGGAGCGAGGTTTGTTTCCTTCGCAAGGACGGGCGTAGGAGCGACGGGTGTTGGATCGCAGTTGGTAGAACTATGGGCCCACGTTGGAATGTCGCACCAAAAAATGTCCACATTTTGTTTTTTTTAAGTTGTGGGAGATATCTCTGTTGTATATCAAACCATATAAACACTGTAGGGGAGTTGGTGCTAGTCGTCAGTGTCACACACAGTCAGTTTAGGTGAGCGTCGTGGTACCAATAAAAAGGCCATTTTCCCGCCTCGATCGATCAGGTGTAGTATAGGACTTTGGGAGAGAGGAGGAGATACTGCCATACTGGTAGAAGCAGCAACTTTACTTGGTGCCGAAAAAGTGGCCGAGAATCCAAGATAGGTAGCTTCCGGCATGGCATATTCCGGAGGAGCAAGCATGATACCCCTTGCAAAGCATGCACGCACGCACATCCATCGATCTTTTGGGTCGAGTAAGTAGAAGCACGGCTCGAGAGAGGAAAAAGTCGTCATAAAGGGCACCGCACATCACGCAGCTGGGACTTTGCATCTTGGGTTGGCAGGCAGCAGCACAATTTTGATGGTTCAGCTTGTGCCAGCTGGGCTTTATTTGCAATCCACTGCAGCGTACAACGTACATTGCACTGACAACTGACTCGCTGAGTGAGCCATGCACTCAAGATTCATTCGATCCGTCCAATTTTTCCCTTTGGTTGCCTATGATCTGTAAACTCATATGCTGCTTGCTAGCAACAGATCGATCGATGTTACTACATACCATCTTGTTCTCTCACACAAAACCGCGTGAAAATGGCAGGCAGAAACGACGCCAGAGGATTTTCAGTCTGCTGTCTGCTTGATAGGCATGCAGTGAAGCTGGTAGAAATCTGAATGACCTTGCAGTCCTTTATAAAAAAAAAAAAAATCTTGGGAGTCGATCGAGTCGATGCCGTGAGGCGCATGCAACGCGTTATTGATGTCACCACTGTACGCACGGGCCGGCATCGGTGAGCATCCTGTGAACTGTGATATGGACTCGACGTCCCCATGCATGAACCGTTAATAACACTTTACTAATTTGAGAATGAACCATCTATCGCTCTCTGTCAGACAGCCAAAAAAAAGCTGCCGTCCCTACTAAGCTCCAGCTGCAATATAATTGTGTTTTAAATCTATCTGGGTACCAAAATGAACCATGTCTGCATACATGGAATTTAATTTGAAAACTGTTTTAATTTGCTTGTATACATACTCCTATTGGTGAGGTTGATGCATTTTTTAAAATGTTAACATCTTTTTTCCCCTGCAAATATGAACAAACCTATACTTTTGGATTGCATTTTCCGAATACATGCAGCACGAAACTTTTTTTATGAAAACAACAGTGCTTGATTTAACAAAGCAGCATGACGCGCGTAGTACAACAACATCTGATATCCGACAGTGACCTCCAATTATTTAGGAGCACGTGCTTTAAGAGGAAGCTAGTACCACGTCTCCGATCCGATCGATGGATCGCTAGCTGCATGCAAGTCAGCACAAGTTCAACCAAACATGCACCAAACAATGACGGCGACGGCTGTGACTCGACAACCTCGACCAGATCGAAGGAGAAACCGTGTACCCTACCGTGCAACAGCCACACGACACATTACGTACTTGTTCCTTATATAACATTTGCATGCATGCATGCATATGCATCCTGCTACTACACGGGCACCGTGCGGTTGTAGCTCGCGGCGGCGGCGGCGGCGGCGCCAGCGGCCTCGTCGTTCTCGCCGGACATCTCCTCCAGGGACTTGCCCTTGGACTCTGGCACCAGGAACGTGAAGGCCAAGCCCAGCAGGTTGCAGCCGGCGAGGAGGAACAGCGAGTTGCGCACGCCGATGCCCGCGGGGTACCCGTGGTCCGTCTTGCCCGGGTCCTGGCTCTGTGCCAGGTACAGGAACCCGAAGGAGCCGACGATGGCGCCCAGCTTTCCCGACGCCGCCGAGATGCCGTGGCACGTTGACCGCAGCCTGGCCGGGAAGATCTCGGCGGGCACGATGAACGTGGTGGCGTTGGGCCCGAAATTGGCGAAGAAGAAGGTGAGGCCGTACATGACGACGAAGCCGATGTGGTTCCCCGGCGTGGTGGTCCAGTGGTGGTACGGCACGGCGAGCCCCAGCATGAACGCCGTCATCATCAGGAACCCCGTCGCCTGGATGGCGAACCGCCCCACCACGTCGATCAGCGCCACCGTGAACCAGTAGCCCGGCACCGTGCCGCACAGCGCGATCAGCGACTGCGCCCGCGCGATGCGGAACAGCTCCTCCAGCGCGCTCATCGTCGCCGCCTTCGGGATCCACCCCACCGCGCTGAAGATGTCCTTCTGGAACAGGTTCTGCGAGTAGAAGGCGATGTCCAGCAGGAACCACGTCGCCGACGTGCCCAGGAGGTGCAGCCCGTGCCGCCGGAAGAACTCCCCGGAGAACAGCCCGAAGGACGCCGCCGGCGCAGCCGCAGCCGAAGAGGCCCTGCTTCTGTTTCTGTTGTCCTGCGCGGCAAGCTCCTCGATCTCCACCTGCAGCACCTTGGACATGTCCGCCGCGGCCTGCTTGGCGTTCTTGGCCACCAGCGCCGTGTACCGCGCCGTCTCGGGCATCTTGGTGCGCCAGTAGTAGGTGAGCGCCGCGGGCATGGCGCCCAGCATCAGGATGATCCGCCACACGAAGTCGGCCTGCGGCGGCGTGGACCCGGCGGGGTCGACGGCGTACGCCGGGGTGGGGAACCTGGCCATGAACGCGGCGGACACGACGATGGCCACGAGGCCGCCGGCCATGATGCCGAAGCCCTGCATCGCGAACACCGCGGCGATGAACGCGCCGCGCGTCTTCTTGCTGGCGTACTCGGACATGATGGTGGCCGACAACGGGTAGTCGCCGCCGATGCCGAACCCGAGCCAGAAGCGGAAGAAGCACAGCGTCGCCATCACGGACGCCGGGGTGTGGCCGAAGGAGAGCCCCGACGCCACGGAGCAGAGGACCATGAGCATGAGCGTCATGCCATAGACCTTCTTACGGCCGAGCTTGTCGCCCAGCCAGCCGAAGAAGAGCTGCCCTGAGAGCGTGCCCACGAAGGCCACGCCGTTGACGGCCGCGGACACGTGCGGCGGGAGCGTGCCGGGCGTCGCGGAGCCCTCCACGCGGTAGTAGATGCGGCCGAGGAGCTTGGTAACGAGGGAGATGCAGAAGATGTCGTAGGCGTCGGTGAAGAAGCCCATGCCGGCGACCACGATGGCGGTGAAGTGGTACCATTGCGTCTTGGCGGTGTCGAGCGCGGTGAGCACCTGCAGGTCGCCGGCGGCCATTGACGCCCCGCCTCAACCTGTCTTGTCCGGCGATGGCGGCGGCGGCTTGAATGCTTGGTCTGTCTTGGGGCAGCGAGGGAGGAGGCCGGCCGCTATTTATACGCGGCGGCGAAGGATCTTCTTCGCGCCGCGGCCGAATATTCGACGCGCCTCTCTCTTCCCCATTGCCGTTTGACCGTCGAGCGCTTGGTGGTCTGTGGGTCCCGCACCACGGACAGCCTGTTGACTGTTGTAGGAACTTCTTCCTTGCTGCTTGGCAGGCATTTGGGTGGGTCAAATCTTAGATGAGCTGTTTGCACACGCTCTGCTTTGGTGCTTGCTACAAGGACGATTATGTGTCATTGATGCAGGTTTTAAATCAAACAAAGAAACATATATATAATTGCAATAAAAAATATGGATCACTTCTCATATATCTCAGGTACCAAATTTTTTTCAAAGAAAATGTAATTTTATCACTGTTTAACACAGAAAAAAATTAAAAATTATCTCTTATGAGTTATCTTTTTAATTGTACATGGTGGTTTTCCAATATTATTGTCTGAAATTTAGGCACCTAAAATACAGCAACCCATATATGGACTTTGTATATACTCCCTGCGGTTAAAATTATAAGATGTTTTAGCTTTTCTAGATACATTATTTTTACTATAAATATAAATATCGTGTATATCCAACTGCATAATAAAAGCTATATGTCGGGAACCAATACTAGGGTACCCGAAGAGGAGGAACTAATGACCATCAACATTGACTCATCCGAGTAGTCAAGAGCGCGACTACAGCTCCAATCGACACCCCAGCACGCAAGCTCCGCTTCTTCCGGCCTCTAGGTCTGCGCTCCGCCTCGCCCGACCCTTGGGTCTGTGCTTCACCTCACCCGGCCTCTGGAGGAGGACTCCGCCTCGCCCGACCCCGAGGCCACGGGCTCCGCCTCGTCCGACCCTTGGGTCTGCGCTCCGCCTCGCCCGACCCTTGGGTCTGTGCTCCGCCTCGCCCGACCCCGAGGCCGCGGGCTTCGCCTCGCCCGACCCTTGGGTCTGCGGTCCGCCTCGCCCGACCCTTGGATCTGCGCTCTGCCTCACCCGATCGCGAGGCTGTGGGCTCCGCCTCGCCCGACCCTTGGGTCTGCGCTCCGCCTCGCTTGACCCCGAGGTCGCGGGCTCCGCCTCACCCGACGGAGACCCATACCGCCGCCTACCACTCCAGGTCCAAGCATATGGGCCTGAGTCAAAGCTCTGACACCAGGGAAGAGACCGGCACACCCTGATGTAACCCGTGGCCTTGACGGGCCATACCGGAGGATTCACATCGAGAACAACGTCGGGCGTACCGGTGCTGTTCTGCCTAACCCCCGTACGAATACTGACGGGCGCGTCAGTTCACCACGACGTTCGTCAGGACGGAGTGGAGCGCCATGACCGGCATATGACGCCTACGCATGGCGCTAGTGACGGACAGGACCGCGACGCGAAGCTGTCGCTGTTGACATCTACAGGGTCGGCGGGACCCGCGTGAAGGAGAAGGACCCGACGATCCTGAAGGCCTTGGGCTCTCTCTCTCGTTCTTCTTTTTCCTCCGCTGTAACCCATGATTTCTCTTGACCTATAAAAGGGAAAAGCAGGGCGTCCCATAAGAGGCATCGCAACACATCACATCTATTCAGGCTAGATCCGATCGAACCATCACGAACCCATCGAACCCCGAACACACGGGTGAGTAGCAACCGAGCTCTCTTAGCACCCGTTCACTCCTTTCATCAGAGACTTGAGATATGTCCCTCTCTCGCCCATTTGTAACCCCTACTACGAACTTTCAGTGCTAGTAACATGAGCAGCAGCAACGAACTGGACGTAGGGACAATCTGCCCGAACTAGTATAAATCTCGTGTCGTCTAAGCACACCATCCGAGCCAGATGCGCAATATTAGAAATTTACTTGCCGGTGGCAACTCGAAACACCGACACTATATATCTAGAAAAGCTAAAACGTCTTATAATTCAGAATGGAAGGAGTACCTCTTTAATTGGTTCACATCCTATGCCTCAGTCGTCTGAAAACAACTAAATGATTGGAGAATACGGGGAACAGTGGGGCAATGAGACGGTGATGATAATGCTCAAGAAGTTGTGTCAGTTGGGGTGGTGAGTATAGATTGATTAGCGACAGAGAAACAACAAGGAGTTGCTATATTTGAGTTGCCTGAATTTTGAGATGATTTCAAACAACGATGTTATACAACTAATTAGTACAATTAAAAAGGCAACTCACAAAAGATAATTCATAATTTTTCTATTGGCAAACAATAACAAAAGGGCTTTGCTGTGGTACCCAAAGTAACTGTGAGCCGTTCATTTATTTTGAACAGGTGGTTATAGTCACATATTACCCCTAGATTAAATAAATTAAATATATATTTCACATATATGTAGATAGGTGAAATATATATTTAATTTATTTAATTTTTATTTTGTAAAGTATGATAAATTAGGTAAGTTTTAGGTATATAAAAAATCTTATTCTAGATTTGATGGATGTATGTGTGATCTGGCCTATATGATAAATCTTTTTTTTTATTTTGCAACTTTGAACTTGATATATTTTGATTACCATGTAATTTTACATGTGACTTAATAAATTTGAATTTGCATGTGTGAAATGGTGACCTGTACTTGATTTGCATGTGACGTGACGTGATGCGTTCATTATATGACTTGTTTAATGGTGTTTAATGGTTTTTTGAAGGATCTGGAGGGGCATAAGCCCCTATAGTCATTTATTAAAAACAAAACGGTACATGAAGTCACAGGGACTTTTATGTACTATTTAACCACTTTAACACAGTTGTTCATAGAGATTTGAAATAATTGTGCGTGTACAGATTTAAAATATGAGTGTAAAACGTCTTGAAACGTATTTATCAATAAATATTTTCTTATAATTTAATATTTGTGGGGCCGTGGCGTCCGGCGGTGGGCCACAAACTTCCGGCGGCCGGCGCGCGGGGCTATGTGTGGGCGGCGTCCGTCGGCAGGTGGTTGCGCCGGGCCAGTAGCCAACCGGTTCGGGGCTGCATGTTTCTTGTTCTCACGATTATCCGGACCACGGAAAAGGAAGGGCCAAGGCACCCGCGGCTTCTTTTTGACCTGTGGATTCCGCAATATTTTTTATTTCCTAGATTAATTAACTAATTGATTAATTTATTTAAAAATCTAAAAATTTAAAAAGGCATAGATTTATTTGATTTGAGGTATTATGACCTTCTAAGAAGTAAAGGGGATACTGTAGCATTGTCCATAGCAAAATCGGACTTGCTAGTGTTGGGACGTCCATTCCGGGGCACTAGCGTCCAGACGTTGTCACGCTTGAGGTGACGGGCCCAGTGCCGCTTCGTTTCCCGCACCTGCACATGCCCACGCGGGGGCCGCGTCTCGATCTGCGCCTAGCTCCATTTCCCGCGCCTGCCGCTCGCACCCCCTCCGCTACCACGCTCATGCACATGCCCACGCGGGTCTCATGCAGCTGTAGCAGGTGGCTGTGGCAAGTGGGTCTCACTGCAATATGTGCAACATCCATATCTACTTTTGCAATATCTAGATAAAATACTTACAGCATACGCCCGAAACAGTTGAAACAATTACAACATACGTCTAAAATACTTGCAAAACACCAAAAAAACTTGAAACCACGTGTGTAGCTATTGCAAACACCGAGATAAAAATATTTGCAACCTACATATGAAAACACTTGAAACACTTACATATATATGCAACATCTGGATCGACTTTTGCAATATTCAGATGAAACACTTGCAACGTATGTCTGAAACAGATGAAACAATTTGAACCTACACTTAAAACATACGTGTATAGTCATTGCAACATGTACAACATCCTGATCTAGTTTTGCAACATCGATACAAAACACTTGCAACATATCTCTAAAACACCTAAAACATATAGTTACAACATGTGGTTTTCAGCACAACCATCTACTTGATGCTTCAGCGAATGGAGGCTCATCGACGCGTTGAGGTAACCAGTGTGCTCGATGGCGGCGCGGAGCTCGCCGGCCACACGGAGCTGGGCGGTGGCATACAGAGGGCGGATAGGGGCGACACGGACAACAGTGCGCAAAGGACGGGTGGGCGACGCATGAAGGTCACTGGTGTGCTCGCCGGAAGTGCAGAGGGCGGTGTGAGGACGACGTGTTGAAGCCGCGGTGGACGAAGCGGAGTGGGGAGTCACGGGGTGCAGACTCGTCCATACGTATGGACGCCTTCCATGGGAGGAAATGGGGGTTGGTGGGGATCACCTGGGAGCACAGCACGGCAGTGAGGAAGGCATGTGGGTGGATGCAACGGCACAGGGAGCGAGCAGGGAAAGGAGGACCAAGGTGGGTGTGCACAACGATGCAGAGATGCAGCGACGCAGCGAGCGAGCCCTTGCAGTGGAGAATGAGAGTCGTGTGGGCCTGTGCAAAGAAGCCCGAAGTGGTGCACGAACTCATTTTGGTTTGTGGCATAAACGGTGGATGCGGCGTCTAACGGAAAGAGAACCGTCCGAACGCTCTAATCCTTGTAGGCATTGCGCGGACTAGCCGGGACGTCGCGCGGGGCTGCATGTTTCTTGTTCTCACAATTATCGGGAACCACGAAAAAGGAAGGGCCAAGCCACCCGCGGCTTCTGTTTGACTTGGGGACTCGGCAATATTTTTTTTTGTCTTCCCTAGATTAATTAACTAATTGATTAATTAATTTAAAATCTAAAAATTCCAAAAAAATAAAGGTTTAGATTTATTTAAGGTATTATCTTCTAAGAAGTAAAGCTGTAGTATTGCCCATAACTAAAATGCCTATTGCTAGAAGAACAAAAAATAGGAACCTAATAAAGTATAGAAGTCTCAAGGTAGCCGGAGGCGAGGGCTGAGAGTTGGTAAAAACGAGTGGCCAAATAAAGATGAGGAGGTTAAAAATCACCTGATGGTTAGATCTCAATTAA